CACACCTTAAACGAACAATAAAACACATCTTTGCATAGAGAACATCAAATTTTTGAAATCCAACGATGAAGAAGAAAAAAAGATAACAAAGCACTTGAAAGCTTCTGTGTGACCAAAACAAAAAAAGAAACAACAAGATACATACAGGCGATTCGAAGGCTGGAAGACAGACGGGAAAAGCTACTTGCTGGTATGCCTTAACATGTGATGGTCGCAGTAAAGACGGGGGAGAAGTCGCAAAGACCAATGGTATTATCCCAGATAAAATAGGGAAATAATTGAAATGTTAAAGGGGAGCGGTGTAATTTACCCATCCCGACGCAATCCATTCCACAGATTCCAGTTCCACTCTGTCGTTTGCCAAAGCTCGTTTTGTGAATAAGATTTTAAGAAAAGCAGTTAAAACATATGCTCCCAAACACACCCTTACCTACTTTCTAAAATGAAAAGTGGGTAAAAAGCCTCCCCAAATGCACCCTCAAATTTGACACTATTAGACATACTGAGGAGGTCAACAAAATTTGCTTGATGACTTGAGATGGATTAGATGACTCAAATTCAAAATAGGTACATCATCTTTAAGATGAAATACTTTTAATAATGAAAAAATTATATATTTGTTTCAAATTATTTAGAAAGAAACTTTCTTTGAAAAAAATAATTTACATATTTAGAAAAAAAAGTATCATCTTGTTTTTTTATTTTTATTTTCTTTTAAGCATCATCATGTTTTATAAGTTATAACATGCCAAAAAAGATTTTTTGAGCAAAAAAACCTCATTTGCTTAGAATTTGAGAAAATATATAACTTTACAAGAAGAAATTTTAATTTAAAAAAAAAAACGAGCAACTTATTAAAAGTGGGTTATTTATTAGTGCGAATAGTGACTTAAAAGATGAATTAAAGAACTTGGCAACTTTCACTTCCGTAAAAACACCTTATTTTCATATGCCACGTAAGAGGGATTAGCTAGAAAGGCCTGCGCTATCCACAAATTTGTATCAACAGGTTGGATGAGGGTCATACTCTTGTAAAAGCATATTAGCACATTATTTTAGATGGAGTGAACATAAGGTTGGAGGAAATATTTAATTAAAATCCACAAGAAGATGACATTTCTTGGAGACCTCTCATTGCAGGTCATTTCTCATGGTTTACCGACAGTTTTATGAGCAACATGGCCGCTTGAATGGATGCTGAGGGAGGTCTATTTTGTGACCCTTAAGATAATTTTTTTTTTTTAATCTCATACTCGAAGTTGTTATTTGGTTCTAGCTGTATTTCCTTGGTTGTGAAAACTTACCTCGATGAGAATTTCATCTCAGTAAATGCAATGATAGAACACATATGCCTAGGTTTATGAATGCTAATTTTGCAATAAATTCAATTGCAAGTGGAATGCAATTTTTTGATGCTACTACTATCCTATTTTGCTTTTTTGTGATCATTCACAATCTAATTCATCATCCATGTACATTTTAAGATTGTTAGGTTGGATGGTTAATATTGATTTGCAAATTGCCAGTCATATGCTTCTTAGATTGCGGTGTTGTTGCAGACTGTGAGATGGTGCTAAAGGACCTGGTTAGCGTTAGAGACTCAGTTAATTGGATATTTTTGTTTGTAACCCATGCCAACCATGGTCTCATGAAGCTAAGATTGTTATTGTTTACATAATTCAGATTGAGGGTAATATATACTTGATATTCTTATTATAATTGATGAGAAGTTTAGCTTTCAATACCATCGGAGGAGAGAGGCAACTGAATTGACAAAAGGAATCGAAGCAACGAAAGGGGAAAATGAGAAATTGCGTGAGGACAATACGTTGAAATGCGAGGCAAAAAATGGACCACAGGCAAAAGACACGGCGTTGAAACACTCATATCCGCGGTGGCATTTTTTGCGAATGCCACTGTGAAAACCACCCTAAACAAAGAAATTCTGCGGCGCTGAAACGAACCTCTCCGTAGAGACCGCCCCAAACTGACTCTTAATGTAATTAGAGGTGACACTTAGGATTATTCTAGTTAAATTTTTCTTTATGGTTCTTTTATGGGGAGTGCTTTTTAATTGTTTTATTTTGAGGTTAAATCCTTTGTCAATTTTTTTTTAGATTCTATTTATTATGTTCATCTCATCTCAGGGCCAAATTGACTTTGTTAGATTATTGACTGCCCATAAGAATTAAGGGTTTAAATATTAGACTCGCACAAATCATACAAATTTTGAGTTGAAGTCAACCTCCTTATGATTTAAGATCAAGTTTGAATCAGCTTAAGACTCAAAAGAAATCAAGTCAAGTTTAGTCCATGTTGCAACGTCTTGCAATCAACTTGAAATAGTTCCCTAACTGTTTGATTTATCATTTTTTTAAAATAAAAAATGAAATTGTAATTTTCATTTTTTTTTGGAGTTTTAGTGCCCAAATCATTATTCTAAATTGTAACTTTTAATGCTTAACTCCCGCTTGAAACTTTGTAAACAAATTGTGAAGGGTCTTTTTAGACAAGGTTTCGGATGATAACTTCTACTGCATAATCATTGGTCTAAACCTCGAGTCATAAATTCTGTTTGATTAGCCTAACTGCAATAGGTTGATTGTAAAGTTCTTACTCATTGCTTGACGGTGTCCTGAACGAGTCTTTTAAAAGATTTTGATTTTGATGACTTTTACTAGTGGTTCGGAAACTTATTTAATATATTTTGAGCATGATTATGCAAATCCCATACAAGAGGGACAGATTTTGCCAATGTCACATTTTATTTTATTTTTTTTAAATTGATCCTCTTCTTGGTGAGGCTTGGATAAATGGCTTTTTATTGATTAACTTTGTTTGTGTCATCTGTGAGCTCGGTTCTGCTTCTAGTCTATTATGATCGAGCTAGACTTTTTTTAGTTATCATTCTTTTTTTAGAAAAATATGACAATCACCAAGTGAGGTTAATTAATTACCGTGATTGTCAGGTAATCAGATAAGTGTTGTATATTCTAAACGTATCACAATCTTCTTTATTACATTTATTGTTCTCCTTTTTGCTTTAAGGATATTGGATAGAGTTTATGTCTATTGTTTTATGGTGCATTATTTTTCTGGATGAGCCTGGTCCACAAGTTTCTCTAGCATTCATGCTTTTAAGGAAATAATGTTTTTTAGATTATGAAGTTGAATTATGCAAAAGAACCTTTTGAGGTTAATGGACTTTTTTAGTCATTCAATGTCTGCACCATTATTCAAGTGATATGCTCCCAATCGAGCGGCCTTCATCATCCTCTCCTTTCCAGTTTAGGCACATGTCACACCTTATTGTAGAATCGATGGCTGGAAGTGGTTTATAATCTTTTGAGGAAGCACTTTTACATGGGTAAAATCCATTTTATTTATCATTTTCCGTTTGGATTCTTAGCCCTTAGGGCATTCAAGATTCATTCATGGTTATTGAACTTAATTGATCAGTCTTTCCATGACTTCAACTTGAATATTTTAACACATTTTTTTATGGTCTTGTACTTTGGATTCTCACGGAGGTGATTGCTTGTGATTTCTAAGTTTAATACTTAACATTATCCTAATTTTAAAGGTGAGGTTGAGCCATCTTCATCCATTAGTACTTTGAGTATCACCTCTACCAACTAAAGGTTGGTGCGCTGATGAACATCTCTGTGAATCCAAATGTGTTTGAACTTGTGATGGTGCTTGATGCAGTTGCCTCTTCCTCGATTTAGTTTGTATATTTAGTGTGTTGAGCCAACAATCCCTGAGCTGCATGAGGTCTACCCATGTAGTTGTGATTTCGCTCAATGGTAAATGTTCCAAACTTTGCAATAAATAAACATCCACTATGGAGTCAAAATCCATTAAGCTTTGCTAGACCTCAAATTTATTGAGGTTGGGTCTCACGATGATGGCATCATTTTATTCAATTATAGTTAAAGGAAGATTAATACTGATAGAAGTTGTAGAAGGGGGATGGCTGATATAATTTCTACTCAAAAGCTTTGGAGCTGCAAAGTACAAGATGAGTTTACAGCATCAACCATCATCTGCACTCCTAATGAAAATTTGACTGGTTTTCATTCTTATTTGATATATTACCTGAATGCACTTTGGATTAGATAAAGATCTAGAATGACAACCTTCTTTTTTTTTTTAAGATTGGGCCTTATAAAGGAGATTATCCTCTTAATTTTCCTGATACCAACTGTTTCAAGTTGTAAATACATTATAATTCTCCAAGATGCCACTAGAGTTATAAAACCTTTTGGTTCATGGTGTTCCATTGCAAACCCATGAACGTGCCCTCCAATGGTTGGAGTTTTAATATATCAACATTCAATCTTTCCAAAGTGTGCAATAAATAAGCATTCACTAAGCAGTCGAAATCCTTTACGATTTGCTCGACCTCAAATATATTCATGTCAGGTTTCACGATGATGTCATCATTTAACATAATAATAGTTATAGGAAGATTGATACCCGTAGAAGTAATAGAGGGGGGATGGCTGGTATAATTTCACCTCTAAACATTGGAGCTGCAAAGTACAATATTGAGTTTCAGCATCAAACATCATCTGTACTATTATTGAAATTTTAAGTGATTTTTCATTCTCATGTGAAATATTACCTGAATGGACTTTGGATTAGATAAAGATATGGAAAACTTTCTTTGTAAAAATTGGGCCTTCTAAAGAAGATTATCCTCTTAATTATCCAGATACCAACTACTTTATGATTGTCTTTTGTGATTTCTATTCAATATGCTTTACTGACAACAATTATGTGCTTAGCATCCAGAGGTCCAATTTTCTACCATACTAATGGCTACTCACATTTTGCAAGAACGAATATTATTTGCATAAAATGAGATTTTTGGCTGTTTCAAAGATGAATGAGTAGTTTAATCACTTAAAAGTTTTTATTAGGAGGCACTCTTTTTAAAATGCTTTCAATCATTTTGACCGTCTTCTAACAATTGAACTTGCAAATTCACTAAGCAGGAAGACACACTACGTCATGTCTGAACAGAAGATTCTAGCTATTTGTCAGTTTGGTGGGGATTTTATGAACAACAATGATGGAACAATGACTTATATTGGTGGAGAGGCGCATGTAATTGACATCGATCGTGGCATGCACTTCCATGAACTTGTGACAGAGATATCCGACATGTTTAGCTGCAATATGGATTTGTATTCAATCAAATATTTTCTTCGGAACAACAAACGTGTTTTGATCACAATCTCAAATGACAAGGACTTGAGAAGAATGGTTGATTATAATTCAGATCCTACAATTGATATTTTTGTTCTGAAGAAGGTGGAGAACAGGTATTTAAACTATGATTTTATCATCTTTTTACTAGGATGATATTGAGGTAATATCCCATTTGTTTGCATTTTGTAGGATAATTAGGAGTGTTGTAGCTGATTCAGGAACTTCTACTGATGTAATTACTGCCGTGGATGGTGAAGTCACTCCTTACAATGACAGCCGTCTACGAATTATGAATGGTTGGGACAATTTGATAATGGGTGTGGGGCAAGCCTTTGATAGTTCAAAAGAGTTCCGAGAAGTGTTGCACAAGTATGCCATTGCCAAAGGTTTTGTATACAAATTTATTAAGAGTGAAGGACCTCGTGTTACTGTTGTGTGCTCTGCAAAGGATTGTACTTGGCGGATACATGCTTCAAAGTCATCAGCAAATCAAGATTTTACAATTAAGAAAATGAATCATATCCACACATGTGAAAGGGAAAATAGCAAGCAAAGCCATCGGTTGGCAACTCAGAGCTGGGTCGCCAGTGTTATAAAGGAGAAGCTTCGCGACACACCAGATTATAAGCCAAGGGACATTGCGAATGATCTTGAGCGTGAGTATGGACTGAGATTGAGTTACCATCGGGCATGGCGTGGAAGAGCTATCGCTGAGAAAGAGCTCCATGGTTCCGTAGAGCAGGCTGGAAGCGAACTGCCTTGGTTTTGTGAGAAGATTATTGAAACAAACCCAGGAAGCTTTGCTACCTTACAAACATCAGATGATTCAAAGTTTATCAGTCTTTTCTTATCTTTTCATGCATCCATAAATGGTTTTGAGCATGGATGCCGCCCCCTTCTTTTTCTTGACGGGATCACATTGAAAGCTGCCAAACGATGGAAATTGTTAACAGCAACTGCTGTTGATGGAGAAAATGATATGTTTCCAGTTGCCATGGCTGTTGTTGATGCTGAAACTGATGAAAACTGGCACTGGTTCTTAGTGCAACTGAAATCAGCTATTGGTATGTCCCGTACCATCACCTTTGTGTCCAACAGGCAGAATGGGTTGGAAGGGTTAGTGTCTCAGGTCTTTGAGGATTCCTACCATGTTTATTGTATTAATAATCTCATACAGGAATTCAAGGCAGAGTTTGATGATTCCTGGCCCCAGGAACTGAAAGATGAGATGGTGGATAATCTTATTCGTGCTGTTTGTGCATGCAAGATTGATGAGTTCAACCAGTGCATAGAGATCATAAAGGCTGCATCACCAGAACTAGCAGAGTGGGTTATGTCAAAGAACCCAGAGCTCTGGTCTGATGCTTCCTTTAAAGGTATGAGATCCGGCCACTACTCATCATCTGCTGCACAAATATTCAATGAGTGGATATCTTCAAGACAAGAGTCTTCAGTGCTGCAGATGATTGACATGATCCGCTGCAAAATAATGGAACTTATATATAAACGGCATGAAACCTCAAACACCTGGACTGAGATGGTTCTAACACCATCCAGGAGTCGAAAGGTTGAAGAAGAGCTGTCCAAAACACAAAATTTCAATGTCATATGCCCAACAGGCAGCATCTTCGAGGTGAAAGATGAGACGACAAATATTGTTAATATGGAAATTTGGGAATGTACATGCCGGAGGTGGCAGGTCAACGGTTTGCCATGCCCTCATGCCCTGGCAGTCATCGAGCGATCCGGTTGGTGTATATATGATTTCTGCTCCAAATACTTCACTGTAGACTGCTACCGTCAGGCTTACATGCTTTCCATTAATCCAATAGCTGACCCACTTCATTCTGTATGTGCGGTTCCTTTCCGAGCGAAGCGGTTGCCGGGCAGGCCAAAAAGGAAGCCATTGGAGCCTCGCATTACCAGTAAGAGAGCAGTTCGATGTAGCAAGTGCAGAGCATACGGGCACTACAAACAAACTTGCACAACTGCTATGTAGAGCTATCCATGTCTAGCACTCAGGTGAAATAATTGACCCCCACTTGTAGACTGCTTCTCCTTGTTTGTTGTGCCTTTTTACGGTTTGCAAGCCTTTGTGGGCTGAAGCTTCTCTTTTCATGGAGGAAAATCGGTAGTCTGTAGATATGTAGGTCTTCCAGGTGATGAAAGCGCCTAGCAGCATACTGTCAAATAATTCTTCATAAAAGTTTTTGCTGAATCTTCATTTCCAGGTTTAGGTTTTTCTTTTAACGGGTTTAGGAATCAGAAATATCGTAATGCCGTTTCTTGGAATTATATTGATCAAAATGACATTTAATTTAGTTTCCAAAATAATAATATCTATATGCAAGTGACATCTTAAAAGTTACAATTACAATCTATACCGTCTAATTATTATTTTTTTATATATAATAACATGCAAAAATGATGGGAAAATTTATGTATTTAGATCTCATACCTAAATTTTCATGTACACAAATTTAACACTTAATGTTTTAAATTATAATAATTTATTAAATAATATTATATGTTTTAAACTATTTAATATTATTTTTTAAAAATAAAATTAAATAATATTAATATTATTATATTAGTATTGAATCGACAGCCCCCTTAGGTTTGAATGTTATGGCTATTTGTAAAAGAAAAGTTTCATAACACTTTCATGTCTATTTAAAATGGAAAACTTGTACGAAAATTTTAGCAGATAATATTCATGTAGAGCAGCACCATATAATTTTCTCCGTTTTTTGGTTGCTCAAAAGGTGTCCTTAGTTTAGGCTACTGAGGGCATTGGGGGAATAAAACTCATATGAACATTCACTTTTGCATTTTATTTTTTTTTATATTTAAGAACAAACATGATTTAGATAACCTCTCTATAATGATGGTCGCAATTGGATGTGGGGCGGGCTCATGTTATGTGGTCAAATTGGCCATGAGGAGATGCGTGAAGCTTATACATTTGATGGTTGGAAAATTAGGATAATCATAATGACTATATCAAAAAGATATGGAAGGTGAAACTTATTTGATTAGTTTTAATTAATAAAGATTGCTTATGATAAGGGGGTTTGGTTTATGCAATTCAAGAGCAATCAATGATATGTGAGAAAACGATAAGCGAGAAGGAAAGAATGAGAGGACGATGAACTATTAGTATGAGATATTTCATGGATGGAGGGAGAGATGAGATGGTTGTTTGAAACATAAGCAAGAAAGGAATTGAGAGGATGGAATGGTTCGGCCATGTGGTATGAGGCATGTTGCAAAGCTATGAGGTTGTAGGTATTTTGCTAGAGGATGATTACTACAAGTAGGGCAGCTAAAATATGTGTTTTGGACATTGATGCCTAAATGCGATGATGTGGATGGTTTTTCCATTATTTTAGATGTACAAGCATGATTTACCTCTTCTCGAGGAAGTCTGCGAGGTGAAAATGGTAGAGATAAAAAAAAATGATGATAAAGGACGAGTTGACCTATTAAAGTAAGACCCTTTAGGGAAACAATACAAAATTTTACCCCAATCTTTTTTTTTTTTGGTTGGATTTTAATGTTTTCTATGATATGTTCTTGAGATGAATGAAAGGTTTGTTTTCTAATGACTAATAAGAGGCAAGAACTATATTAGATCACTTAGATCTCCCTAGGAGATTAAAAAGGATAGGTGATATCAAAGAAAATTTCATGACCTACACAAGAAGAGGCACACCTATGGAAAATGATGTTGTAAGGCTATGAAAGTTGAATCTAGTGAGGTTTCCTTAAATTTATATTTTACTAGAAGATCTTTCTATGGAACGACACTTTTTCAAATATGAGATATAGAACAACAACAAAAAAAAAGAGAGAGAGAGAGAAGATTGGTATTTTGTGCATGGTGCAAAATGTTAGTATATTTTCACAAATGTTAGATTGCACTACATGGAATAAGAAATTTAATAGAACATAGAAGGTTCATTATCTTTCTAGTTAGCTTCTACAAGAAAGGGACTAAGACTAGTGAAGCGAGTGCGTTAGTCTTCTTCTTTCTGAATTATGTTCATGTCTCAATGCATTATTTAATGATTCTTAATATTAGGGAAATATGACATTCATATATATAAAAAAGAGCCAAAAAAACATTGATATGAGAAAAAAATGATGTGAAATGGCATAGAATGAAGCCATATACCCTTTGATATACTAAAATAATAAATGTCCTCTTTTAAAATCTCCTTAAATGATGTGGTTCAAGTTAGCTTCTACAAGAAAGGGACTAAGACTAGTGAAGTGAGAGCGTTAGTCTTCTTCTTTGTGAATTATGTTCATGTCTTAATGAATTATTTAATGATTCTTAATATTAGGGAAATATGGCATTCATATATATAAAAAAGAGCCAAAAAAACATTGATATGATAAAAAATGATGTGAAATGGCATGGAATGAAGCCATATACCCTTTGATATACCAAAAAAACATTGATATAATAAAAAATGATGTCCTCTTTTAAAACATGCTTAAATGATGTGGTTCAATGGCCATTTTGCTTGTGGCCCACTAAGAGGAGATCTTAGAGAAACTGACAGATGATGGACAATCACATGATAGTATGTTCTTGAGAGGAGTGATTATATGGAATTTCATATTTTGGATGTAAGGGATCATATTGCTAAAGGAGACATTCTATCTCTGGAGTGGTGGTAATTTGTAGCATGTTTCAAGGGTTTTGATTTCTATGTTTACTTAAATTATTTGCAATACTTATGTTGATTTATATAGATCTGTATAGGTGAGACTAGCTAGTGGGATGTAGGTTAGATGAAAGTGGTCATTGAAGAGTTTGGAAGGCACATTGAAGTCGTTGATTGGATGAGTCATTATAAGGGTTGAGGTTGGAGAAAATCTACACAAAGAGTTTTCCTTATATGGTAAGATGAGTTACTAATAGAATGTCCTCTGATGAAGAGGTTGGTAATATAGAAAGCTTAAGTTGCAAGAAAAATGTTTTTTTTATTGGGTCATGTCAAAGGTCTAGATCGATCATCAATTTGGATAGGTGATGGTTGGTTAGCTAGATGTTAGAGAGAAAATTCAAATGTTTCTTAAACGATGGACTCTTAGGTAGTTTGGGTACACCATTGTTAATACAAGGCAAAAGTTGTTTGAGGGCAATCTAAGTTGTATGGTTTAGCAAGTTGAAGGGATGGGTAGGGATGATATTCTTGTGACCCAAAACCAAAATTTGGCTTGATACATGTGTAATAGTTTTTCAAAAGGAAAGTTTTCTCAGGTACATAACATAATACTAGGGTATTGGATTACCAAATATTGAATGTGAAGAGCAATATAATATAATTTCATAAGGATGGGCAAGTTTATCCTATGAAGTTTTGTAGCCAAAATGGGCTTGGTTGGAGATTTGTATATACAATGCATGATGGCACCAACATTCTTGAGAATATTAGGATGCTTTATTAATTTTAATGAGAATGAGTTAGTGTAGTGGCATTGAGTGTTTTCAAAGTTGAGTTCCTTATTGTGAATCTCAAAAGAATTAGGGCGAGTAAGATTTTAGAAATCACATTAAGCTTGATTCAAGTGGGTTTAAATTTTTCTTAGAGTATAGAGATGGAGATACCTTTCTATTCATATATATACATTTGATACATATTATAGGAAAACACACTATTTTCATACACACACATACACTCTTGAATAATATACATGTTTCTATTTATTATACTTTAATCTTAGTCAATCGATTAAAATATAAGGCTAATAATCAATATAATTATCGTAGTCCCATATAATGTAAAAATTCAAGAAATTAAAAATAAAGTCTCTACCGTCCATGAACCATTTTTGGATCTTGATTTTCTTTTTCTTTTGTCTTTCTCTCTAGCCTCTATTAACTACTACTCACACTAGGGTTGCTCATCTTTACAAATTCATCTCTTTATGCTATAGTATACATCTCCCTTGATGTGATGATGAAGCAGCTAACACTTAATCTCTTCATTCACTTTATGTGCAACCATGCCTCTTCTTTCGCTTTAGCTTTATCCCATTCACCTTTACATTATAGGTAGATGACCATATTGTGAGACTTGCGATTAACCTCTTTTATTTATTTACATTGTGCTTGAGATATTATTTTTTCCTTAAGATTTTATAAATTAATAACATATTTATGAATTTTTTTAAGCTACTCAAGTTATATGAAGGAAGCTATATTACTTGATTAATTTATTTTATAGTTAGATATTTGATTAAGGACTTGGATACCTATATATGAGATATTGAGATGCAAGTCTCATATTTCCCAACCTAACTATCATCATACCTCATTCATCACCAAAACACTTGGAAATACAAAATTTTCTCTATACATAATCCTCTAATAAAATTTTAAGTCATTTTAATCCCTCTATAGATTCTTACGCGTGTGCCCCCTCAACCACCACCAACACATTGACCTAGTCTTGGCTTTTTCTTAGGTTCCATGCCAGTTGAAGTTTTAAAAAATAATTTCATTAACTTTTTTATACATTACTTATCATTCTCAAGTAGTTCCATAATGTGTATCTTCCACTAAAAAAAAATCGTAAATTCAAGTTCTGAGTAAGAACTATAGAGTTTTGTATTATATAAACAATCAGTTGGCTCTTTCCTTTCGACCACCATCTCCAATCAAATTATTTCAACTTCCTAAGTGTACTCCCTACATCCTTAGTCTATCATTAAAGTGAAGGTCATAGATCAACCATTTTTAGACTACAATAATTTTGATTTCCAAGCAAAATCTTGAACTTTAGTGAATTAAAAATATGGTGCATCAACTTCATTTCACTAATTAACACTATAAAAGTAAGAAAATAATTTTATTCATTATTCAAACTCTACCTATCATTAATTCTAAGGAAATAATTTATTTATAAGAATAAATTATTTCCTTAGAATTAATGATAACTCCTAACAGCAACTGCTATTATGAAGACGAAACTTTTGAGAATTTAGTTAGTTAGTTAGTTAGTTAGTTAGTTATTTTTACATATTGGTGTGGGTGTGATCCACTTTCAAAAAATAATTTCCTATCATTTGAAT